GGTGAGCTATAGGCGCCGAGCCCCCTCCTGCACTTTTAAAGCAGTTTTTAGAGTTTTGTGGTTTGGTATTCCAGCAACTTCCGAGGTTGATTAATCAGAGTCATTGTTCTGTTGTCTTCAGCATCACTATGGAAACGTCTATTTTAAACATTTGGACAGTAAGTGGATGAAGACCAAAAAAGGATTAAATATAGTCTAGAAAGTTATATTATTCTTTGTGACACAGCATTTTTTGCATTCGATTTAATTTTTATGATATTATAGGGGTTTAAGTAGGGCGACCATAGAATTTTAATCCAAATTTGCGTACTTTTTTTTATGGACACTTTTTGAGAGTTCCTCAGATGGAACTTGAGGATGGCAAGTGTAAACCGGAATTGTCCTGGGCAACCAGGAATAGATGTTACCCTAGTAATATGTGGATTGTTAGGAGAAATTAACTTTTTCCCCTTTAGTTTTAGCTTTACTGAGGTTTAATAATTTACCTACAATAAATTGTCAATAGAAAACTTTATAGGTTGATTTGCATCTTTTTTTATATTTTTCCATGTCTTTGTTATCAAGCTCATGTTTTTCTCTACCTTTTTGAACACATGGAATAAATATAGTTATAATGAGTGACTGAAATGTCTCTGTCTCCTAATTCTATCATCTTTCATTTCTGGATTGGTTTGGGTTGATTTACTTTTTCCCAATCATGGGTTCATGCTTTCCTGTTTCTTTGCATACCCGGGAATGTTTGGGTAGAACACAACTCAACGCGAGTTTTACCTTATTGTATACTGGCTATTCGTAATTCCTTTACACATTTTTTGAGCTTTGCTCGGGACACAGCTAAGTTATTCTCCACAGGAACTGAGCAGGATTTGGCAAACGGCAGCCCGTAGGCTCAACTCTGGCCATGCTTATTCATTAACATTTGGCTTGTGGCTGCTTTTGGGCTTTAATGACAGAATAGTTGTGACATAAAGTTGAGACTTGATGGCCTGCCAAGCTCAAAACATTTATCTGATCCTGTACAGAAATAATTCGTTGACCCTTGGGGCTTGTCTAAGCTTTTCAGGCAGGAAAGAGCCCCTTCGTTTTTTTTTCACTACGGAGGCAGTGCTCTTCTGAGGACTCTTCCTCCTGCTTGGGTATAGTGAGGCTCTTCCACTCTGGCTTGTTGGTAGACAGACCAGCCTGGGCCCTGGGTGTGTATTCCACTGATCATTCCACTGCTTCTTGTTGGGGGTTCCTTTCTTTGCCTTGGGCAGTGTCTTCACAGGTGTGCTGAACAGTACTCAGCTGAAGACCCAGCAAATTTTGGAGAGCTCTCTCTCTCTCTCTCTCTCTCCAGCTTTCTGCTCTCCCTGTACCGCACGTATATTCTCCAGGACGCTTCCTGTTAATTCTAGCTGCCTCAGCCTCCCCAGATTCTCCCCTCTGTCTCATCAACTCCTTGAGCTCTGTTTGACTGTCCCTTATTGTGCTGCCAGCTCTCCAGGGGCAGTCAGCTGGCCAGTTGCACGACTCACCTCATCTATTCCCTTTCCTCGAGATTCATTGTTTTGGGCTTCTGGTTGTCTAACATCTAAATACCGTTGTTGTGTATACTTTGTTTAAAAATTGTTTTGAGGGCCAGAATGGTGCGTTGCTGTTACTCTGTGATGGCTGGATGTGGGTGTGGACAGCTTCAACACTGAGCCTTCTGTGATGGGAGGTACAGGGCATTCAGGCTTTGCTGCTGGTTCTTTTCACTTGCATTCCGCCGTCAGGGGCCCTTTCCTGAACTGACATTCCTGCTTTGAATTACTAAGAAGTTTCTTCTAATATTCCTCGGTCTCCTTTTTCTTTGTAGTTACAGATAAAGCTGTCAAAAGAACAGCTATGGTAGAATTACTGGCACGATAGCTTATTTCTTGCTGCAGCCATTCAGAATATCTGTTAGTCACTGCCTTGGATGTGGAACTGTGCGTAGAAACAAAAATTTTTAATACTGGCTTTGTTTCCATGTTATGTTCTCAGTTTTCACATTACCGTTCCCAAATTCAGTTCCATGGAAACCGTCTGACTCTTCCAAACTATTAAGAATCCTTTAGTGCACTGTTTAACATGCTTGGTTTTAGACATTTCCGATTCTCTTTGGACCTCAATAATCATATTGCTTTTTCTTCTGTTTCCTTCCTCTGATTTCGTAATTGGTATCACATATACAAGATCAGCAGTTTTTAAGAAATACTGACCATGATTATTTTCCTCCCATCAGTAATCTCTAATAAAAAAAAAAAAAAGAAAAAAAATGGTGACTTTAAATCAGACATAAGGGCGACCTGAAAGAGATGAAGTGGGATGTCTAATACAGTCTGTCTTTAAGGCGTTGAATATTGTCCTGCTGTTTGTGGAGTAATCTTATAACTACCTCTGTCAGAAATGCTAAGAACCGAGGAGCTTTGTAGGAACATCTTTCCTTTTAGGAGGTAATTTTTCTTGTTAAGTGTGCCGTAAGAACTTGAAGAATGATCTTAATTTCTCATTTTAAAATGACTGTCAGCTGAGCCAGACTGTTTAGTACTTCCAAGTTGGAACACATGGATTTGTCAGTAAATTTAAACTTGATAGTTGTCATTACTACTAAGTTGTTTGAGTCATATATTATATTCCCATTTTAAATGGATATTGATCTTCATTCAGTGACTAAATTGGAGCATCTCAATTCTTATGAAATTGCTGATTCTTTCCAACTTCATAGATATGCAGCCAGACGTAAATTCTAGCTGACATCTCCCGTTTTTTTTTTTTTTTTAACCTGCTTTGTGCAATACTCTTTAGGAAATAAGAATACTTTTGAGATACCAAAAATAGCAAAAATACATCATCTTTAAAAAAAAACAAATTTAAAATAACATTGCTTTTTGTTTTATTGTATCTTGAAGGTACTTGAAGTTCATCGAGTTGCCCATGTCTAAGAGGAAGTTTTGCCAAAGATGTCAGCAGTTGCTATTACCTGATGAATGGGAGAGGCACCGTGAGCATCAGGTCATGGGTGATATTTCTGTCGCCCAGTTACGAAGGCCCAGTCAACTCCTTTATCCGCTAGAGAACAAGAAGGCAAATGCCCAGTACCTGTTTGCTGATAGGAGCTGTCAGTTCTTGGTAGACCTGCTTTCTGCCCTGGGATTCCGAAGAGTGTTATGTGTTGGAACACCAAGGTATGTTAAATGATTTTAAAAAATCCTCTTCTCACCACTTGAGAAATTAATCAGACTTTTATAAAGTAGTTATTTTTCTATGTATTGAGTACAGTGTGAAGCTTTGAGTATTCAAAGGAAGTGTAAAAGCATGGTCCCTCTTTTAAGGAATTTGCAACCTGAAATGAAGGAATCTACAATGAAGAGGAATCATCGTAGATTTCTTTCTGATGTATGATAGGAGATTCTTTCTGATTTGACTCCTAAATTGTTTATCATTTTAGTCTTCTCTGTGTCTGCTCTTTAACAAATACTTGCAAAACTGAAACCTTGGTTATACCTGCCAAATTCTCCTCATTGTTTCATTGAAATAATCAGAAATGCCAGAAGAACACTGAGGGGTTTGGTCGTTGTTTGGCTTACTGTCTATGGCATTTGCAAATTCTTATGAAATTTGCTTTCACTACTTCCTGTAGGTTGCATGAGCTGATCAGGTTGATGCCGTCAGGTGACAGGAACTCCAACATTAAAAGCCTTTTACTGGATATTGATTTTCGGTAGGTTTACAAAATACAATATTTATCTCCTTTATTGTCTCCTGTTTCTTTTTAATGCTTTTCTCTTCGTGATTGTTTATAATCTGACAACTCTGTAATTAACAATTAGAAGCAGTAATTGGTTCTGAAGCACCTTTTTAGTCCTATAAACTCAGCATGTAGTCATCTGTATTTCAAACAGGGAAGCATCAATTTCTCCTTTTGCTAGGAGATTTCCTCCATGAATGAGTCTAATTGCCTTTGGTTTATAACTAAGAGATGGATTCCCAGATTTCCTCCATGAATGAGTCTAATTGTCTTTGGTTTATAACTAAGAGATGGATTCCTGTTGAGTAAAGTTTCTTCACATGTCCGTGTTCAAAGATAATTCTGAACTGCCTCATACTTACTGAGATTGCCAGAATTTTGTTTCCTCATCAGATCTTCAAAGTGTGAGAAGCCATTTCTTTTAATATATTTTACCTTATGAAGCACCTGTTGTCTTTCACTGAAAGTAGCCTGAAGTGAAGGGATTATTAACCAGGGAAGAGATAGGTCCCAGGGGAGGGGAGAGCAGTAGCCAGCAGAGAGGCCATGTGGGAGGGGGTCAGAATTAAAGGGCGTCTGGTGTGTTGGAACAAACAGGATGGGACAGAGTGACAAACATACCTTGAATCTCTCCCCTGGTGGTAGTTCGTGCTTATAAAATAGATGTCGAACATGGCCATTCACTGTCTCCATAATTCTGGAGTTTCCAAGTGTGTTCTTTCAAGTTTCTGTTACTGTTTGAATTCCGGGAGTTCGAGGTGAATTTACAAGACACTTTCTCTGTTCTTAGTATCTTTTCCATGTTCTTGATTGTATTATGGGAATCAGGTTTTGAGTTTCTTTTTATTTGGCTCTGACTGAGTCTATATGGCCAATATTCCAGTATTTCTTAGAGAGATTCTATGAAATTAAATATGTTTTCTCTCCCTAAAAACAAGGCACACAGACTTTTAAAGTGCAAAATGTCACATGAACAAGTATAGCTTTTATTTATGATCTATGTATGAAAGACTTAATAATAAAATAAAACAAGTATAGCTTTTATATAGTTTATTTTTCTTTAGATTTCAAGTCAACTTTAGGTTGTCTGATATAATCAATTGCATTACTCAGAAATACACTTGATCTTAGCCAAAAGGCCGAGAAGTGATCATTACTCAGAAATAACTTACACTTTATCCTTCCTTATTAATAGACTAGCCTGTTAACCACTCGACCCTTGTTAACAGAACTAGCACAGTTTCAACATCTGTTTGGCGTGAGTGATCCTTAGCAAAATGATAATACAGACTTCCTAAAGATGCACTCAGTTTACTTTTAAATTGAGATCAAATTTACATAATATTTGCCATTTTAAAGTGTGTGTTTCAGTCCTTTCTTGTGTGTCTCCCTGCTGCCTCTTTCCATGTCTGCATTTCCTCTTTTCGGAAGGATACCAGATTGGATTAAGGCCCACACTAGTGGCCTCATTTTAACTTAATCACTGTTTTAAAGGCCCAATTTCCAGATAGTCACATTCCGAAATACTAGTGGTTAGGGCTTCAACAAGGGCTTTAGGGGGACGCAGTTCAGCCCATAAGAGATATAGCTAGGAGGAGAATTGCTGAGTTCTATAGTAACCTTATGTTTAATTTCTTGAGGAACTAACTGCCCAGCTGTTTTCCAAGTTGGCTGTACCACATTATGTTCCTACCAGGAATATATCAGGGTTCCAGGTTCTCCAAATCTTTGCTAATATTTATGATTGTCTTTTCAAAGTGATATTTTATTGTGGTTTTGCTTTGCACTCCACTGATCGCTAATGACGTTGAACATCTTTTTATGTGTTTATGAGCCACTTGTGGATATTTTTGGAGAAATGTGTATTCCAGCCTTTGCCCATTTTTTAATTGGTTATTTGTATTTTTATTTTTGAATCAAGGAAGTTCTTAATATACTCTGGATACCAGGCTCTTATTAGACATACGATTTGTAACTGTTTTCTCCCATTCTGTGGGTTGTCTTTTCACTTTTGATGAAGCCCAATTTTTCTCTTTTTTCCTTATTTGGCTTATGCTTCAGGTGTCGTGTTGTCTAAGGAAACTCTTGCCTACTCCAAGGTCATGGGTACCTCTTTTCTTCTGAGAGTTTTATAATCTTTGCTTTTACATTTAGTCTTTGGTCTAGTTTGACCCAATTGTTTAATATTGTATGAGGTAGAAGTTCACTTTCATTTGCAGATGGTTGCCCAGTTGCCCCAGCACCATTTATTAAAGATAAAAAGACTGTTCTTTCCCATTGAATTGTCTTGGTACTCTATTGAAAACCAAACCATATATGTGTGGATTTATTTCTTGACTCTAAATTCTGTTCCGTTGGTCTTTGTCTTTGTGGTAGTCTCACGCAATCTTGATGACTACTGCTTTATAGTAAATTTTAAAACCGGGAAGTGAGAGTTTTCCTGTTTTTTTCTTCTTTTTCGAGATTGTTTGGCTATTCTGGACTAATTGTATTTCCACATGATATTAGAATCAGCTTGTCAATTTCTATACAGAAGCCAGCTGAGATTTTTATAGGGGTTGCACTGAATTTGTAGATCTGATTGGGGCGTATTGCCATATTAAGTCTTCTAGTCCATGAACATGAGATGACTTTCCATTTATTTAGGTTTTCTTTAATTTCTTTAAATAATAATCTTGTGGTTTTCCATATACAAGTCTCATACTACTGTTGTTAAATTTATTTCTAAGTGTTTTAATTTTTTTGGTGTTATTACACATGAAATTGTGTCCTTAATTTGATTTTGTAGTGTTTATTGTTAGTGCCCTGATTTACTTTTTAAAAATATTATGTAAAACTACAGTTGACCCTTGAACACCATGGGTTTGGGTCCTGAGGGTCCACTGGTAAGTGGATTTTCTTCCATCTCTGCCACCTCCGAGACAGCAAGACCAACTCCTCCTCTTCCTCATCCTCTGTCTGCTCAAGAGGAAGATGAAGGCCTTCAGTGATCCATTTTGATGAGTAGTTCATATATTTTCTTTCTGTATTATTTTCTTTTCTCTAGTTCACTTGATTATAAGAAAACAGTATATAATGCATGTAACTTACGAAATATGTGTTAATCAACAGTTTATGTTATCTATAAAGCTTCCAGTTCATCAGTAGACTATTAGTAGTTACGTTTTTGGAGAGTCAGAAGTTACACTTAGATTTTTTACTATGTGGAGGGTGTCAGTGCCCCTAACTCCTAGGTTGTTCAAGGGCCAGTTGTACATATAGTATTTACCTTCCTAACCATTTCTAATTATATAGTTCAGTGGTGTTAAGTATATTCACGTTGTTTGTAACCGACCTCCAGAACTCTTTTCATCTTGCTGCATTTGCTTTCACTTTGAAAGATTTGTATGACCTCTTAGCTGTTTAGCCTGTAAGACCGTGCCTTTTGGTTTCCCTTTCTTGCACCTCTAATTGAAGTCTCCTGGTCAGAGTAGGGCCTAGACTCTACAGGTGTCCTCAAACTGCAGCCCGCGGGCCACCTGCCGCCTGCCGCCTGCCGAGGACATTTATCTGACCTGCTGGGTGTTTTTGCCGTTGCTGCCTGTCCTGCTTAGCAGCCGACTTGTCCCAGGGCTCACAGTCCAGCCCTCCACCGGTTTGAGGGCCAGTGAACTGGCCCCCTGTTTAAAAAGTTTGAGGACCCCTGGCCTAGAGGATGTAGATAATATTATTTTATGGCTTACGGAATATGCAACACTTTCTTTTCTTGTCTATAAACTTGTGTGTGTGCATTGCAAACAACTAACAGTGTTCTGTTGGAGACGTGGTTGGTAGCTTGGTTTCTTTGATAGTGTCGTCTGTTGCTGATTCAATTCTGTCTAAAGGCAGCATTCGATGTTAAGAGACAACTGATTTATTGAAACACATTAGTAGTCAGAATGAGCTCAGGCTGTTGCCTGTATGTGTAGTATGATGAAATATGTGGTTGGTTTAGATTTTTCACAAAAGACCGCAGTTAAGTCAGGAAAAATACTCCTGTGTAGTGCTGAGTGGCAATAAATAGTTACTCTTGGCACTTTGGCTTTGCGTCGCCTTCCCAAAGGTCTATCCAGGGCTGCAGAACTGCCTCGCACCCCAGTGTTCCATGTCCCTGTGCTGTAATAGCCTTTCTAGGGGCATAAGATGAAGTTAGCATTTGCTAAGATGGATTTCTGTATGCTCTAATTTTAGCAGGAAAGATGTGAAACTCTATTTGGCAAACTATTATCCAAATAAAGTTATGTCAAAAAAATGAATTTCTTAGGTTCATTCCGTGAACTAATTTTATTCAGCTCTTGATTACATTTCCTGTGTGTGGAGCATGTTTCACACTTGGTAACTGGCTCTTATTTAAGGAGAATGAATGGCCAAATTAAATGAATGTCCTTTTGAGCAGTTTTCAAGTGCGTGTATTTCTGATTGGTTTTGTTTGCCTTATTCAATGGAGAGAATAATTCTTTGTGGCCAATTTCATTTTAAGAGGGCAGTGCTGAGTGGTTTTTCATAAATTAAAATATGAATAATTGTGCTTCTTTGTTTGTGTTGATGGAAACTTAGAACTGAAATCTTGGCTTTTTCTCTCTCTGGCTCTGCGCACTGCTGCCCAGAATGTTTTGGCCAGGTGGGCTGGGTGGAACTTTTTTGTAAATCAAATTTGCTTTTCTAATTTTGAAAGATGACTCCTGTATCTTTGTGAAGCAATGAAGAAAATGAGGATTAAATTTTAAAGGGATTATGTTTTCCTTTGCTCGTCCTTATAAAGCAATGTGAGCGGGAAGAAAACCTTCAGGTGATAGCTGACCCCTGGCTGTACTAGTATTGATATTCTTTTCTTAATCATCAGTTATTTGAAATTTAGTTAAATAGGAAAGTATGTGTTTAACAGTAGTTGACGCTGCCTCATGGTTTCTGGGATACTTAAATATTATTCAGTGATCTAAACCTTTTGTTTATTCCTTCTGTGCAAATTTGTTTTATGAAATCAGCAGATGTGCTAACAGTGTCTTAAACGATCAATTGAAGGATGTTGTCTTGAGAATGGTGAGCAGCGATTTGTTCATCTCTCTAGAATGAGAAAAAATAAGATTTAGATTATGTTTTAGCAAACGTAAATGTAATTCCCTAATAATAGGGGCATTGAGACATAAATCTTCATAGCTTTATTTTTTAAAGTAACGATACTTAGCATTTTAGTATATGTGTACATCTGGTATTAAGGACTTTATATGTTATCTCGTTCTTTTCAACTCCTATGAGGTCGAAACTATTACTTTTCTTTTCTTTTTTTTTGAGACGAGAGTCTCACACTGTTGACCTGGGTGGAGTTCTGTGGCATCACAGCTCACAGCAACCACAAACTCCTTGGCTCAAGCCATCTTCTTTTCTCAGCCTCCCGAGGTGCCCACCACAATGCCTGGCTAGTTTTTCTATTTTTAGTAGACAGGATCTCACTCATGCTTAGGCTGGTCTCGAACTCCTGAGCTCAGGCAATCTACCTGCTTTGGCCTCTCAGAGTGCTAGGATTACAGGCATGAGCCACTGTGCCCAGCCAGACTATTATTTTCCTATTTTGTAGATATAGAAACAGAAGCTTAGAAAGGTTAAATAACTTACTAAGATTATATAGCTAATAAATGAGAGACTTGTTGTGTGAAACAGGACCATTCAAGTATAGATCTTATTTTTTTAATAGGGAGAAGATAGACACATGCTTTCCATTACATCTAAAAATAGTTTTTTAAAAAAATACGGTGTTTACACATCTGTAATCCTAGCACTCTGGGAGGCTGAGGTGGGTAGATTGCTTGAGCTCACGAGTTCGACACCAGCCTAAGCAAGAGTGAGACCCCTGTTTCTACTGAAAATAGAAAAACTGAAGCAATAGGATCACTTGAGCCCAAGTTGGAGGTTGCTATGAGCTGTGATGCCATGGGGAGCCCGACTTGGAAGTTGCTGTGTGCTATGATGCCATGGTGAGCCTGAGTTGGAGGTTGCTGTGAGCTGTGATGTCATGGAACTCTACTGAGGGCAACAGCTTGAGACTCTGTCTCAAAAAAAAAGTACAGTGTTTTACTATGTTGCCCACGCTCAAGCAGTCCTCCTACCTCAGCCTCCTGAATATCCAGGCTTGTGCCCACACGCCCTGCTGTTTGTTGTATGAAACATGCACCGTGGATGATGAGTCAGTTACAGATGGTAACGGGTAACTGAGAGTAGAGGTCCAGGCAAAGAAGAGCCACTGGCACGGTTTAGTTCAAGAAGTCATATAAGTAGTGATGTGTGTGATTTTTTTTTCAGTCTTTCCACTAGGTTTTAAGTTTCTAAGAAAGATGATGTGGTTCATATATGAATTATTTATAATAAAATAGTCCAAATTCCAAATCCCATGTGGTAACAGAGAGGGTTCTATATTATAGGGAAAACTCAGAAATCAGCAGGAAAGACATTTAGACCCTTTTACATGAGTGGGGAAAACATACAGATGACAGCACAAACACAAGGGAGAGAAGACTGGGTCTCATCAGTAATCAATGCAAATTCAGAGCATAATGTGCTATGAGCTTTGCCTGGTAAATTAGGAAAAACTTTGAAAATGTTAAAACCCAAAGCTAGTACTCTTATTCATTGCTGATGGCATTTTAAACTAGTATGTTAGAAGAATGAAATAAATACCCCTGTTCCCTGGCACTAATTTAGTAAATGTGAAATGGACATACTGTTTTTTCTTTTATATTGAGAAGCATATTTTACTAAACTTACCTTCATCAGACAGAAGAACTTTGTATTAAATACTCTTTTTTGTTACCTATAAAAGAAAATAATAGCTGTTGAGCAAATATGTTGATTTAATATTTTTCTTAAAATTATTAGCCACCAGAGCTGTATTTTAATTGTCAGCCCATTGTAAGCTGAAGTTGCATAATAATTTGTCAGTAACCCAATAGTTTATGTGTCATCGTCTGGCCCACAGGAACATGTACATTTTATAAGTGAGTGTTCTATAGTTTTGCCACTGGTTTATTATTAACGTATTACTTTATTATTTCTCAAGAAATAATAAATAATTTATTCATTATTTTTGATTTACTTATCACTATGACTGAGCAAGTAACTCCCATAATACATTATTTTGCAGGTATTCACAGTTTTATATGGAGGATAGCTTTTGCCATTATAATATGTTTAACCATCATTTCTTTGATGGAAAGGTAAGCATTATGACCATCATCTCTTTCTTCTCTTATTGTAGAATAGCAAATTCCAGAGTACCGTCTGTGTTATTTTTAAAAGATTTTTCAAGATGAAATTGTGGCTGTTCTACTATTTATTTGTATTTATTTTTGGTTCATTCACTGTGTGATTATTGACCATCCAGAAGTGATTTGTTATTCCCTTCCTATGACTTTTCACTGCTTTTTGGATGAAGACCCACATTCTTGCCAAGGGCCATGGGGCTTGTTCTCCACCCTTTGCTGTTTTTGCACGGGGCACGGGGCTTTCATCTTCAACTGGTCAGCTTCTTTTTACCTGCTGGCTTCTCGTCTCCCTTTGCCTTGATAACTTCTATTCATCTTTCAGAACTTTGTTCCAGCTCACTTCTTCCAGGCTTCCCTGACCCCAACATCCAACAAGGTCGAGTTTTTCTTTGTAGATTTACAAAGGAATTAAATACATGTGTCAAGCAGGGGTGCATGGGAAATCTCTATGGCTTCCTCTCACTTTTGCTGTGAACCCAACACTGATCTAAAAAAAAAAAAAGGGTCTGTAAAACAAAAGGGCAGTGGCTTAAAAAAAAAAGCTTCTTTCAGTTTGATGTTAATAATGTTGCTGAGAATAAACAATATCGCAGAGCTAATATTTGGGCCAGTATGAGCTCTTTGTCAGTTCTGTTATACAATAAAATCAATAACCAGCCAAGTAATGACACCTGACAGGAGGTTGGCCAAAACTGTTTTGAAATTATTGAGCAGACAGTGCATACAGAGGGTGCCCCCAAAATGTACACACAGTTTAAGAAAGGTGAAAACCATATTAAATTTAAAATAAGTTGCAGTTGACTTGTGCAATTACAAGAAGTGCTCACTGTGACTTGTGTTCATCTTTTGTTATCTGTAGGTATTGAGTATTACAATTTTAGTATAGTTTTTTCCTTTCTTAAAATGTGTATACATCTTTTTGGGGCCCTCTGTATATATAAATTTTTAAAAAATTGTTAACCAAGGTTAACTACATATTGTGTTTTGAGATATTAATGCTAGAATAAAAACTGAGTAAAACTAAAAATGTCAGTACTGGGGAAATGAAATCAAATACTAAATTGTTGGTTGGGGTTCGAAAATGAACCCTTTGATTTAAAAAGTATAACACTTCCAGGTGGCGCCTATGGCTCGGTGAGTGGGGCGCCAGCCCCGTATACCGAAGGTGGCGGGTTCAAACCCAGCCCCTGCCAAACTGCAACAATAACAACCCAGGCATTATGGTGGGCACCTCCTGTAGTCCCAGCTACTTTGGAGGCTGAGGCAAGAGAATTGCCTAAGCCCAGGAGTTGGAGGTTGCTGTGAGCTGTGTGACTCCACGGCACTCTATGGCGATAAAGTGAGACTCTGTCTCTACCAAAAAAAAGAAGAAAAAAAAGTATAGCGCTTCCTCCATTTGAATTACTTTAGCATTGGGACATATATTTTTCAGCCAAGACAGTCATTGCAACCAAGTATTGAAATAAGCAGTTAGATGTGCTTCACTGTCTCCCAAAAGGTTTATGTGGCTGGTGATTATGAGGGTTTGAGAATGGAGGAGGTGAGCGTGAAGGAGAGCTGGGAGTTGACGTGCCAGTGGGTGATGAGGGTTGTTTCTACCAGGACAGTGGCAGTGGGAAAAGGGAGACAAGAATGGATTCTGTGAGAAGTGTAGTTGGGGAGAAGTGGAGGCTGACTTTGTGGTCTGGTCTACGTTTGTACATTGTTCTTCACAACAGAGGGTAGTGAAGTTTGGAAAGGTTTGAGCATGGGGGTGTCCGGTATGGCCTCTTGCAACTGTGTGGCCTTGACTTTGGAGCTGAGGTCAGGGCTGTCCCAGAAGATGAGGACAGTGGGTGAGGTCTTTTTGTTGTTGTTTGTTTATGCCATACCATGCTTTAGCTTTTTATTTTGAACAATAAAGACAAAATAAAGGTTAAGTACATAATGGTTGGTTAGCAATTTCATCTGTTTTTTTTTAAGTAGCATATAGGACAGCCTATAGTATAATTTACTATTGACACTGTGTAAGGAATTACCTTATAAGTTTCTAGAATAATGGCTAGAATAAGCTGCCAAGATCGAACGCTACTTTATCTTTCCCTGAAGAAAACAGCTGTCCAGCTAAGGCTTTCCTTACTCTCTATTTTAGTGGCAACTCTAAATAGCACTGCAGCTGTTGAGATTGATCTGCAGGAACCCATTGTTTTAATGATTTTATTATCCGCCCCTTTTCTGCCTACTCCCGGAGTTAAGTTTCTCCTTAGAGATTCACCAACAGCTAATCTATCACTAAGTATTTAAGTGTCTGCTCGATGCCTGATGCCTGTGAGGCCATCCAGGGTGCTTAGGACAACAGAAGGCTCAGCTGCTGCATCTCAGCACCTTACAGCCCTTTAGATTAAAAAGCAGGAGTTCCCTTGCATAGGATTTTCTCTTTACAAATCATGTAGTCCTTAAGGTATTACAAAAACCCATATACCTTTATGGTAAAGTATAAAATGCCATGAAACTTTAAAAATGTGTGCCATTTTGTATATCATAAAGTATATCTTTGTATATCTTAAAGTATGTATAGAGGACAGCTAATTAAAATGCCAGGTCGGGTGCAGTCGCTCATGCCTGTAATCCTAGCACTCCGGGAGGCCGAGGCAGGTGGATTGCTTGATCTCAGTAGTTCAAGACCAGCCTGAGCAAGAGCAAGACCCCATCTCTACTAAAAATAGAAAAACTAGCTGGTCATAGTGGTATGTGCCTGTGGTCTCAGCTACTTGGGAGGCTGAGGCGAGAGAATTGCTCAAGCCTAAGAATTCAAGGTTACTGTGAACTGTGATGCCATGGCATTCTACCCAGGGCAACAGAGTGAGACTCTGTCTCAGAAAACAAACAAACAAACAAAAAACCCGGGCATTATTTTGGTGATAACCGAGATGAAAGAAACAGTTAAGTTACTGTCCACATTGTGGTGTGACACACATCTTTTTCCCATAGGTAGTCAACATTAGGGCCCTCAGCAACTTGTAGTGGGCTTTGACATCATAGATTCTTACCTGGAAAAAAATATTCTGTTAATGTTTTTTAAATGAGGGGTTAAGGCAGTGGTTCTCAACCTGTGGGTTGCGACCCCTTTGGGGGTTGAATGACCATTTCACGGGGGTTGCGTTGCCTAAGACCATCCTGTATATCAGATATTTACATTTACATTACAATTTATAACAGTAGCAAAACTACAGTTATGAAGTAGCAATGAAAATAATTTTATGGCTTGGGGTCCCCACAATATGAGGAACTGTATTAAGGGGTCGTGGCATTAGGATGGTTGAGAACCACTGGGTTAAGTCATCATTTACTTGTATGTTTTCTTCGTATACTTTTAACTCTAGGAATTGGAAGGTTTTCACCATTGTCATCTGTGCTTTAAATCCTTGTTCACGTAAGCAGGTTAAGGAAGTGCCAGGTAGCACTTGCAAAATGATTAACCTTTTTGACAAACGGTCCTCTGGCTGTAGGAATTTCAGCAGGAAGTTAATGAAGATTCTCCCACGGAGAAAGGATTGTGTTGTGGGTTTTTTTCTCTCATCAGTTGGGCCTTCTAAATCGATTTAGTAGGATAGCAAAATATATTTGATAATGACATGCATATAAGCTTATTCAAGTATAAGATGCCTGAAACTTTAAACACATGTGCCATTTTGTATATCGTCAATGCTAATTTACTTTTATAGGTGAGTATAGCCGGCCCTCTGCCTCTGTGGGTTCCACATCTGTGGACTGAGCTGTGGATCAAAAATATTAAAAAAATATATGGTGGCATCTGCGCTGAACATGGACAGACAATTTCTTCTTGTTATTATTAAACAATATGGTCGAACAACTCTTTCCCCAGCATTTACATTATATCAGGTATTATAAGTGATTTAGAGATGATTCACGTATACAGGAGGATGTGTGTAGGTTACATCACATAGGCAAACACGTGGCCTTTCAGATCAAGGACTAGAGCATTTTGGTGTGTGGGGAGGTCGTAGAACCAGTCCCCCAGGGATACAGAGAGATGACTGTACTTAAAAATGACTTCCAAGTCAGTTGATTGGAGATACTCTTGTAGGCATTTCTCTTTAATAACTTTACCCCAAGCAAGAAATGTTAAATGTCCTCATTAATGTTGACTTTACGATTACTAAAAAACACTTAAGTTAGCCTTGGGAAAACATGTTAATAGCAGAGTTTCACAGACTGGATAGGCTTTGTCACTTGTGAACTTTAATTTATTGACTTCCTGTGCATGTTCAAATATGCCTGTCATTTACCTGATACTCAAAAACATGTGCATGTTTCACTGGTAATTTGTAACTGTTATTGAAATGAATTCATGGCAGCGGACGAACCAGGTAGGAGGAAGATTTGTCCTGTTCCTGTTTGTGTCCCCAGTGTGCAGCCGTCTCTGCTCTGTTTGT